AATCTACTGTTGTTGTGAACATCGGTAATATACTGTTGTTGTGAACATCGGTAATCTACTGTTGTTGTGAACATCGGTTATATACTGTTGTTCTGAACATCGATAATCTACTTTTGTTGTGAACATTGGTAATCTACTGTTGTTGTGAACATTGGTAATATACTGTTGTTGTGAACATTGGTAATCTAATGTTGTTGTGAACATCGGTTATATACTGTTGTTGTGAACATTGGTAATCTAATGTTGTTGTGAACATCGGTTATATACTGTTGTTGTGAACATCGGTAATCTACTGTTGTTGTGAACATCGGTAATCTACTGTTGTTGTGGACATCGGTAATCTAGTGTTGTTGTGAACATCGGTAATCTACTGTTGTTGTGAACATCGGTAATATACTGTTGTTGTGAACATCGGTAATCTACTGTTGTTGTGGACATCGGTAATATACTGTTGTTGTGAACATCGGTAATATACTGTTGTTATGAACATCGGTAATATACTGTTGTTGTGAACATCGGTAATCTACTGTTGTTGTGGACATCGGTAATCTACTGTTGTTGTGAACATCGGTAATCTACTGTTGTTGTGGACATCGGTAATCTACTGTTGTTGTGGACATCGGTAATATACTGTTGTTGTGAACATCGGTAATCTAATGTTGTTTTGAACATCGGTTATATACTGTTGTTGTGAACATCGGTAATTTACTGTTGTTGTGGACATCGGTAATATACTGTTGTTGTGAACATCGGTAATCTAATGTTGTTGTGAACTTCGGTTTTATACTGTTGTTGTGAACATCGGTAATCTACTGATGTTGTGAACATTGATAATCTACTGTTGTTGTGAACATCGGTAATTTACTGTTGTTGTGGACATCGGTAATATACTGTTGTTGTGAACATCGGTAATCTAATGTTGTTGTGAACTTCGGTTTTATACTGTTGTTGTGAACATCGGTGATCTACTGTTGTTGTGAACATTGATAATCTACTGTTGTTGTGAACATCGGTAATATACTGTTGTTGTGAACATCGGTAATCTACTTTTGTTGTGAACATCGGTAATCTACTGTTGTTGTAAACATCGGTAATATACTTTTGTTGTGAACATCGGTAATATTATGTTGTTGTGAACATCGATTATATACTGTTGTTGTGAACATCGGTAATCTACTGTTGTTGTGAACATTGGTAATCAAATGTTGCTGTGAACATCGGTTATAAACTGTTGTTGTGAACATCGGTAATCTACTGTTGTTGTGAACATCGGTAATCTAGTGTTGTTGTGAACATCGCTAATATACTGTTGTAGTGAACATCGGTTATCTACTGTTGTTGTGAACATCGGTAATCTACTGTTGTTGTGAACATCGGTAATATACTGTTGTTGTGAACATCTGTTATATACTGTTGTTGTGAACATCGGTAATCTACTGTTGTTGTGAACATCGGTAATCTACTGTTGTTGTGAACATCGGTAATATACTGTTGTTGTGAACATCGGTAATATACTGTTGTTGTGAACATCTGTTATATACTGTTGTTGTGAACATCGGTAATCTACTGTTGTTGTGAACATCAGTAATCTACTGTTGTTGTGAACATCGGTTATCTAATGTTGTTGTGAACATCGGTTATATACTGTTGTTGTGAACATCGGTAATCTACTGTTGTCATTTTTTTTAAAGAAGAAAAGTAGGGATTGGGAATACCTGCTGTGTTATACTTAACGGATTGTCCTTTATCTTTATGTTTTCCGTGTATTAAAGGGATTTTCCTCTGCTTTTTCATTCTAAAATTACATTGGTGTTGATGTGAAACATTGTACTTGACTATACACCTATCCCGCATTTTTTTACCGAAAAAGTGTTTCAATTGTAATTTATGTGCTCTCCCAAAATAGAAACGCCACATGTAAAAAAAAATTATCTACTTTATGAATATCAAACCAAAAATATGTAAGTTTTCGTTTTTCTGTTTTCTAAGCATATATGGAATATTGCCTGGTTTATATCTACATTATACATGTACCACGCGTAGCATCCATGCTATATATGATGTTTTATATCAATCTGTGAAATAAAGAAATATCACAGGTGTTAATTCAATTTTCAATACCTGATATTTAAAAATGACACATATTGTGTATGTATTAATATGCAATACAAAGCAACGTATACAACAAAAAAAGTAAAAAAAAAAAAAAACAGAAAAAAATTCCAAACAACCTAACGAATAAAACAAACAAAATAACTAAAACAGCCTCAAAATACAAAAAAAAAAGATCAAATAAAAGGCAACTAATAACAAAAATCAAAACAAAACAACAAAAACACTAAAAAAAAAGCTTAACCTTCGTAAAAGCAAAACAAATTAATAAATGAAGATAAAATCGATTAACTAGTTAAAAATAAAAATTAAATAAACAATAATAACAAAAAGAAAGAAAATCAAACATTTTGAGGGTAGCGTATTACCAATACAACGCCCTCTATCAGCTGTAACATTTGCATTGAGGCTAGACAACACTTATATTGATCAATATAAACATAAGAAGATGTGGTATGATTGCCAATGAGACAACTCTCCACCAAAGACCAAATGACATAGAAGTTAACAACTATAGGTCACCGTAAGGCCTTCGACAATGAGCAAAATCCATATCGCATATATATAGTCAATTATTAACTTGCGACTGATGCACTTGAAAATTTCCATCTTATCATTATTTGAGTCAGCACGTTTATTTACAGATCAGATATTGTCGACAGCAGACAAAAAACAACCCAATAACATAAAGAACAAACAAAAATCAAATAACTAAGACAACCCCAAAAGAACAAAAAAGTTAAAAGGCAACTTATAAAAAAAAAAAAAAAAAAAAAACAGAAACACTACAACAAAGGTTAACCTTCGTTAAAGCAAAACAAATTAATAAATGAATATAAAAACGATTAAACTAGTAAAAAACACAAATAAATAAACAAGAACAACAAAAAGAATGAAAAACATGCATTTTTAGGGTAATGTATAAGCAATAAAATGCCCTCTACTGGTTGTAACGTTTGCATTACGCTTATATTGGTTAAGCATCAACTTAAGACTGATGCACTTGGAAATTTCCATCTTATCATTATTTGAGTCAGCAAGTTTATTTACAGATCAGATATTGTCGACAGCAGACAAAAAACAACCCAATAGCATAAAGAACAAACAAAAATCAAATAACCAAGACAACCCAAAAAACACAAAAAGTTATAAAGCAACAAATAAAAAACCCAAAACAAAACAACAAAACACTAAAACAAAGGTTAATCTTCGTAAAAGCAAAACAAATTAAATTAACTTGTAATGCACTTGGAATTTTCCATCTTTTTAATCATCAGTTTTTAACAAAATGTCGATCCGAGAACAAAAGGTGTCGCGAGACTATCAGTTGCAAAAAATAAACTGTACGGTTTCTTAGTTTCAGGTCGACTAATTTTTAATTATCTGAACAAGAAATCATCATGCGTTTCTGCAGATGTTTATTTATCAAATCAAATGTCGCCTGTAGGTAAAATGCCAATTTATAATTTTTATCAAGATCAAAATAAATCATGTAAATGAAAGACTAAATTATTTGCAGTTATATCTTTTTCAATCATTTGCACTGCCATCTTTCAAATAAATGAAATACAAATATTTTTATAACAAATCTTACAAAAAACTTTTTTTATAAACACACTTTGGTATTGGACTAAGTACAAATATATGTCATTTACAAAATAAATATTTTCGGTAAATACAGTTCAGGAATATGAATAAAAGGACATGTCGAGTATTCGTCAATAAGACCGCAACAAAACAACATAAAAACAAGACATGTTTTCGTAGGTGTTGGACGTTGTTGGTTGATGTGGTATATTGTACTGCGTGGTATTTTGGCAGTTGTTGTCACTGTTTATAAGCATTAATCAAAGGTCAACGTACGGTCTTCAACAATTATTAATATATGTCTATAAATAATCTCAAGCTCCGAAATCGCTCGAGCCTAAGCTACCTTAGTATTTCTAAGTAGGATATAATTTCTTATGAATGGGTTCTTTCCATGCGTTAATGGTCTAGACCGAAATGCTATTGGTTCAGATTTGTTTGGAATGTTTTAAAGTGTGCAATATGCCACGGGATTTGTGTCGTATTTTAAACTCGCATCTTAATTGTTGATTAAATCACTTTTATGCGTCATGCCTTGAAACGCATTAATCAGTCTTAAAACTCAACAACCATGCACAAAAACAAATGCACGTTATATATTTTTTAATTTGCATATTTTGTTATCGAAACATATGTTCTTTTTACCATGTTACTGTATCAGTTAGATGTACCTCCATATCCTCTATTCATATACGCAGTAACAACGCCTTCGAACAAGGAAATCCTTTTGAAAAAAAAAAATTATTACAAAGAGAGAGAATTACCTCTGTATACTCCAGGGGTTTTGCTTAAATGCTAACTAAGAACATTTTATTGACGACGATTTGAGATTGTTTATGGTTGTCACAGACGATAAAGCATCTCCACTGTACTATTTATCTCCAGACTACCCCGTTTCCTCGTTTATTAGTATTTACCAGATTTATTATTGAATATTTTTTATGTGTTATCAGTGCCTGTGCCATGTGTGGGACAGGCAATTATTAACCCTTCCGGAGAATACATGTTAAATGCCAATGTAAAGTGGTTTGTGTGTTTGTTTTTTTTTATCTGTTTTTGTTGATCATTGTTTGACGTCTTGTTTTTGATTTCCTCTTTATTGATATATTTTGATCCCAGTTTTTTCCCCTCTTTTTTTTTCTCCTGTATCTTCTATAACGATATTATTGAAGGTCATTTTGTGTAGGCTAACAAATTACATATTGTTTACTTTCTGTACAAATATGGATTAATAACTTTATCTTACCACGGGCATTTAAATGTCAAACACCTATAATACGGCAAAATAACAAACTAAGACGGTCATTCATTTTTTTTATAAATATGTTCTGTTATTTGGGTGAAATAATTTGTAATACAACAGTAAAAACAACATATGACAAACGAAGCCCGTGGGCGCGATTAGTAAAGTATAGACCAAGTATGATTGGTGCATTTGTGTCTTGTACCACGCTAAGGCCACCATAATAATATTTTCTATATAAAACAAAATGTAAAACATCAAACGCTTTTTAAAGGTTCTTCCACCGGTAACGTTTATAAAACAAAAAATGTTGATATAGCTGCATAAAATAAGAAACAGGAATTTCCCTGCTTTACAGCAGCACATCCCATAAAGTTCAGGATTGGTGTACATGTGAACAGTCATCATCAGTAAAAAATGTGCCGCTGGTAAAATAAAGCACCATGGCATAAAATAGGCTCCAAAGGATGCCAGAAGTAAAAATCGTGGAGACAGTTCTGCTAAAACACACAACCAGTAAACAAACGAAATCCGAATTCCCATTTTATGCTTGGTAATGACTATGTTTCTGCTGTGTCTGTAGTAAGCTGTGTGAATCCATGACGTGCTTGCCAGTGACAGAGATAATGTAACAACTGAAAATAAAAAATGCATATAGCATTAAACATGAATAAAATAAATGGGGAATGTGTCCATGGGACACAAATGATGCCCCCACTTGCATATCATATAAAATTATAAAGGGACATAACTGAAGAACGGTAGAAGTGACGCTATCCAAATTTGTACTTGATCTGAGTTTTGTGGTAATAAGTATTGTGTATAAGTTTCATAAAATTTGATTGAGGCAAACTTAAACTAGAGAACGGAAACGAAAAATTTAGCAATTATTCCATTTGTAAAGGGGCATAACTCTATAACGGTTAAAGTGACACCACTAAATTCAAACTTGATCTGTGTTTTGTGGTAATAAGCATTGTGTATAAGTTTCATATCATTTGGTTGAGGCAAACCAACTTTTGGACGTACGAACAGACGGACAAGGGTAAAACTTAATGCCCCCTTCGCTTCGACACCCCTTAAAGTTGGGAATAAGTACTAGTTATCAGATTGATTTGTAAAGTTTTCTTCACATTGACATCGTAAAATATCCGCCGTCAGTCAAATGAGGTCAAAATAAACGTCGGACTTTTTACGATATAAATGTGCAGAAAACTCTATCATCTGTATATCGTAAAATTCTTATCTAAAAGTATGTGTCGTCCTTAACTCTTTTTTTTTGCGGTTGATTAAAGTATATGAAGTAATCCTGATAACGAGCGACTGAGCAGGGTTGATATGGTCATCGTACACTAGCTTAAAATATCCGCTGTGAGTCACACTTTGATTTTTTGGCCAGTGTACTCAGCGAATAATCCCCAAAAAGCTTGTTTTGTCGAGCAGTCGGTTTTTAAGAAAAACACGATATATTTTATCGGCTTGTATTTGCAATGTTGTCCTGACCGAAACTTTATACTGTGTTTTTCTTTGTTTTATAAGCTATCCTAGATTTGACACTTATAAGTTCTGGTCAATCTTAAAAAGATCAAATTTTATGACGGTGGTGACATCTCCGAGTTTTATTTATTAGAATTAAAAGGCAGTTCACGAAGAGTTAATGATATATATAGAACAATAATTAATTGCATTTCTGTTTTTGGAATTGACTTTATCAGCAACAATATCAAGCGAGCTCACAAGGGCCGGCTGATAAAGTCAGCATAAACAATCTTTTAAATGCCATTATTTTTTTATTGGCAACTTTTCTTACTTATATGCTTTTGCTGGTTTAACATGAAACTACATGATGTGTTTTTTGTGTTCATATTGTTGTGATAGTTTTTTCCGTCGCGTTCATTTCATTGATAAATTGATACGGATCGACATGAAAACATGATGTTGTACATTGTTAAATGACGTCATTGCTAAATATTTTCTTTGTTTAAAGTACATGCATAGCAACATTCGACTGTAAACTGTGATATTAAATATAATTTAACATTTAAAGACCACATAAAGTGATAACTGTCATAATACTGTTTTGTAACGTTATAGTAAAATACCACTATTTTCGTCTAAACGAAAAACATTAGCGAAAAGAGAAAAGGCTTTAAACTTAAATAACAATGACATTCAGTCTGCCCTCATTTGTACATAACAAAAACGCCCTGTTAGATCATCGATGTAATTTCTTGACGTACAATAAAGGCATTATTCAAGAAACAGTTATGTTTTATCAATAAAAAATATCATATATTAATAGCTTGAAATGTTAAATCCTCTTTGGTTTGAACTTCTGATCACACATTGTGTAAGGATGGTCTTATTTTGGTTTCCCTTTGGTATAATACATTTTGTAACTTTACCAAGATTCTGACTTTCCAATCAATGCAGAAGAAATAAAAAATTCTTTCGTAGCAAACAATGCATCAAATATCTATAGACCTACATTCTACAGTTGTATTACTGGCGGCCAAAATTTACACTAAGATATTATCGTTAATGCAAAATGATGGATTTCATCGATTAAGAAGGGGGTCTTTCAGCAAATTGACCTTCGATGTTAAACATGATAACGGATATCCAATTAGACATGCCATTTTCAAATAAAAAAATCAGATTGGTATCAGGTCTTGGAGATAAAACAAATTCTGAGAAGAATACCAAGGCATGACACCCTGTGGAATGAGAGATATAAGGTATAAAAACCGGAGACGTGGGGTATAGGGGTAATAAAGTGGGATCTGGGGAAAAAAGAAGGATAAAAAGTGGGAAGTGGGGAAAAAATTAGAAAAAAAGCGGCATTATGGAAATGAGCACCCGTGTGATCCCCTAAATACATAGTTTTAATATTCCGATGATGTATTTACGGCTACCCAAACGTATGAACTAACAAACACTTACATGTCATGTTGTTTATAGATACTTATATAGGAGTATTGGAGAAAATTAAACCCAAGAAAGTATACATCAAACAGAGATTTACATACGAATCACCTCTGTATCGTGCTATCTTGAAGTTATAATATTGGTTTAATTCAAGACCAGAGGCTTTAAACTGGCATAGGCAATAAAGTTTTATTTGTTATTGACCTGAAGTCAAAGGAAAATCGTAAGAGAGCTAAAGGTCTACAACGGTAAATGCATTCCTATCTTGACGATTCTTTGTTCACGGCTCTGTCATATTCGGGTATATCGAGAAAAATGATCGTGAAAGAATAAGTAACGGTTGTCAAGTATTGCGACAGGATTGTGTGAAAGTTCTGGTATGGGATCGTGAAGGAAATCTTATCGAGAAGACAAATGTAAAGTCAATAGATAATCTAATTTATTCAATTATAAGGACAAATTTTGAAAAAAATAACACTGTCTGTCAAAATTATTCAACATTATGATCAGTATCTGAGAAAATCATAGTTTAACAGATCGCCGTTTTTACAAAACTATAAAAGGCAGATTACTCTTCAACATTCCAATGACTTAAAAAAAAAATGTGTAAACAAACATGATATTTTTCATTATTTGAATGACTCAATTACTATTCTCTGAATAATGTCGTTCTATTTTAATGTTTCAAATGACTAGTACTCTAAAAATGTTTAACAAAGGTGGGGTAAAATTGGAATATTTATATACATATGATATTTATGATTTATTCGTGATCGTGAAAGATCCGGTGTCACTTATTTGTCATTGCACAAATCATTGAAAAATGCAATTATATGAAAGTTTATTATGTAATTGGTACAGCAAAAGACGGAACTTCCATGACTTCTTCTGGTACACTTTTGTTGGGGAATAAAACTGTTAGGCTATGATGGTTCAATGCCATTTAGTCTGTTTCTTTTTTATTTTAATAAGAGCACATCCACTTGTCCGTGGTGCCCTTTAGCAATTATTGTCTGTCTGTCCGTTCATCAACATTTTAATGTGGTATTATAAGTAAAGATTGTCTCATCTGAAAGCAATATTTTTATGAACAATATCTATATCTATAAGAGTAAGAACCTTGTCGATATTTTTTTTATTAAAAACGACGGCACTTTCGTAAAAAAACATTCTTTTTGGTTAAAACACTCACAAATTTTGAGAAATATCTATTTGATCTAGTTTCCATGGAAGATGATAATTGAATTCGGGGATTTCAAAATAGCGGCACGAAAACATTAGAGAAAAGTGTTTATTTTTATTTGAATTTAACAAATTATGATTTTCATTTTTATGTGCTAGGATTTCAACAATTTATCTTAAGGTATGGAATTCCAGATTGATATATATACCCAGTGTAAAATTTTCGACTAACAATAGTGATAAAAAACACAAATTTGAAGTAAACTATTTCTGATCTAGGACTTGAACGAAATTAAAAGAGGTGTATTATGCTATTCTAGATAGATTATCGGTTTTCAATTTGCGGTAAAAAGTGAGCAATCATTAAAAAAATAAAACAATTTGAGAATCATCCTTCAACGGTATGTAATGATTTTAACGAAAACATAGGTTTTGTATGTCATTCTGATTATCAGTTGGCTGCTATTTTCGAAATGTGTGAACTAATATATCATAGATTTTTTTTTGTATATAAACAGAACAAATCCGCGGCAAAATAATTTTCTGCTTTAAATTTTGTGTTTCTACGTTTCAATGCCACGTACCGTCTAAATAGCGGCGGTGGAAACATTGAATGATACTCAAGCCTTTATTGTATAAGATACGCCAAGACAAATTTTTAAGGTCGAGCTGAAAAAACAGTTCGCAGGATCACTACATCCGGACATATGATGTTGACTTAGAGTTAGAAAGTGTACGTGCTATTACTATGGCGTGAAGGAATTGACTATCCTTTCAGATTAAAAAGATTTTTTAAAGATACGTAACATGAGATAAAACCCTTATACTATCTTATTACTTCTAAACTGGACGAGACCGTATGTGTCCGCAAGATAAACGTTTTGATACATTGACACATGTATTAAACATTATTGATACAAAGATATTTATTTTTCGTCAAGTTATGCTTCTGGTGGCCTTATTTTCTAAGATGTCTAGTTATGTTTGCCTCTTGAGTGAAAACAGGTCTAAATGTGTGTTTATATAAACATATATATATATATATATATATATATATATATATATATATATATATATATATATATATATATATACAGCACAAACAACATTTTCCAAAAGACCAAAAAAGTGAAAAAGTATATTTTAACAAAACGCATTTGACTAGCAGGTCGAACAACGGATGTTCTTAAACCCTGCTGACTGCCATGGCGATTGCCAAATAAACGGATCACAGATGTAACACAATTGATCTTAATTATATTAATTTAATACCAAACAGAAAACAATAAACTTGCGGAAAAGATGGTATACCACAAACATGAGGTGCAAAAATTTGTACACCATATCCGGATTTCGACAATTAATGTCTCTTCAGTGATGTTAGGAATCGAAACGGTATTTGGAAGGCCATATAATTTACCTCAATTTGGGATTGACTCTTGAATTTTGAAGAGTCGAAATAGGATGAACGGATCATATAAACCCGAAGGCAAATATAATACAAGCCCAAACGAAAAAATATAAACAAGTCTAAATTGAAAACAACGTTCAAACCTATGATTGCGTTGGATAAAAACCGCAACTTTTATACGTGTGCATGCAAAACAAATTTCTTTGTGGAGGGGTCTAAATACAGCACAAACAACATTTTCCAAAAGACCAAAAAAGTGAAAAAGTATATTTTAACAAAACGCATTTATAAAAGTTGCGGTTTTTATCCAACGCAATCATAGGTTTGAACGTTGTTTTCAATTTAGACTTGTTTATATATATATATATATATATATATATATATATATATAGGGGTCTAAATACAGCACAAACAACATTTTCCAAAAGACCAAAAAAGTGAAAAAGTATATTTTAACAAAACGCATTTGACTAACAGGTCGAACAACAAATGTTCTTAAACCCTGCTGACTGCCATTGGCGATTGCCAAATAAACGGATCACAAGGTGTAATAAATGGATCACAACTATAAATTTAATACCAAACAGAAAACAATAAACTTGCGGCAAAGATGGTATACCGCAAACAAAGGTGCAAAGATTTTTTGTACACCATATCCGGATTTCGACAATTAATGTCTCTTCAGTGATGTTAGGAATCGAAACGGTTATTGGAAGGCCACATAATTTACCTCAATTTAGGATAGACTCTTGAATTTTGAGGAGTCCAAATAGGATGAACGGATCATATAAACCCGGAGGCAAATATAATACAAGCCCAAACGAAAAAATAAACAGTCTATATTGAAAACAACGTTCAAACCTATGATTGCGTTGGATAAAAACCGCAATTTTTATACGTGTGCATGCAAAACAAATTTCTTGTTAGAGGGGTCTAAATATATATATATATATATATATATATATATATATATATATATATATATTATATAGAAGTCTATAAAAAGGACCAACCAGCAAATTTTCTATGTACCGGATCGTATAATTGTGGCCTCCAATATGTTGGTGAGTCAAAGCAGCCTTTCCACAAACGCCTCAATTGTGGCCTCCAATATGTTGGTAAGTCAAAGCAGCCTTTCCACAAACGCCTCAATGGCCATAGGAGTGATATCTCTAAGAAGCCACTTCTCCCAGTTTCTCAGCATTTCAGACAGTCTGTTCACAAACTTGATGACTTTAACCGCATGAAGATCCTAGTGATTGAACAGAACATTCACTGGAGTGATGCCCAGCGACAGGTTCGGGAAAGCTTTTGGATAAAGGAACTAAATGTACATCATCCAAACGGCATCAATAAAAAATACTAAGTTTTATTTTTCACTCATTTTGGGATGTAAATATACACAGTCACGTATATTTGAGTATTGAGTTTTGTTTTATATTATGATGTTCAGGATTTTGGATTAAATCAATAGACCAAAACTTACCTGTATTATTGAGCTATTTTTATACATATAATCAGTATTGTTAAAATAATTGACACTGAAGAAGGCTATTTGTTAAGCCGAAATATTTGTCAACACGATTTAATAACAACATCTTCGTATAATATCATCTTATATAAGTATCGTTGTGCAAATCTCTAGACTTATATATATATATATAAAATTGTTTTTCTTAAGTTATGAACAGAAAGTGCTAGAATTGTAACATATATCTGTTGTTTATTTTTCAAATGCGAATAACCACGGATACTACTTGTAAATAAATATAAATATAATGAAGTTTTTAAAGGTTTTGAAGGAAATGAGATGGTTGTCGATTACACCAAAAAAATACGTTCTTAATCAGATATCACACGGTTCAATCAATTGAAATACATCAATGGTAAAATCATCCTGAACATGCATGAATTATTTGCCACTGGACCAACAATCAATCAATCAATGGTAAAACAACTTTTTTTTTCTGATGATGAATATAAAAAAATAAGAAGATGTGGTATGATTGATAACGAGACAACTATCCACCAGCATGAATAGGTCACCGTACGGCCTTCAACGATGAGCAAAACCTTTACAGTCTTTTCTGGTCACGCATTATTTTCACGATCAAAATAACGACTTGCCTAATCTTTCACTACCAATTTGGATTAAAAATCAACAGCATCCTTCTTTTATTATGAAAAAATAATCTAAACCTTTTTCAGGCAGAACATCATTTCCATTTTACTGTACTATCTGACATATAAAGATTTAGTTTCAAACATATCTTGATTTATCGGAATGTGACCGTTTTAGATTCAAAACGTGTATTGTTATTTCAATAATTCGCATTCGTTTATGTGTGCTTTCTTAAAAAGAACTGCATTTGTTTCTTTTTCTCAGTCACATTATTATTAAGGAAGTTGAACTATTTTAACAGGCATATTTCTTTTTTTCTGATTTTTTCTGCCTTATATTAATACAAAGGATATTTTCACAGATTTTGCAGTTGAATTGTAGTTAATTGTGTTCACGATCCGATACCAGATCGCAATGCTTGACCACCGTTAGTTGTACATATTCTTTCACGATATTTTTTCTCATTATACCGGATGATAGTGTTGGAGCAAACGACAGTTACAATGAGCTCTTTTCAGAAATCTGTTTTAGAAATCATAATTTCACTATAAATTTATTATTTGGAGTTGCTTCGCGGCAATGAAGCTCAATGAAGAAATTTAAAATTGGGCTTTTCGGAAGGGAATTTCTAGAAAGTCCTATAGTTGAGCCTCTTTTACCGCATACCTGACTTAATAACCGGATATTCTACCAAAAAGTATTTATGCTGTGAAGTCGTTTTTCAATAAACAACGAAAACTAAACAAAATGTGATATGAAGGCGAAATTCATACAGATGTAGTTAAAATCCTTGATATATTCGTCATTCAAGTACATAGAATTATAAGGCGTTTATTAATTTAAATTGCAAAAACTGTCATTAAATATTCTGTCCATTATACAATGTATATGGGCGTCTTGATTGGCTTATGTAAAGTCAACAAGACATTTACAATATGCGTGTTTAAAATAGAATATCTGCAAATCAATTTGAAACTAGAGTTGTTTTAGCTGACTCTAAAACACGTGATGTCTCCCCTCAATGTGTGTGGCTTTACCTTGCGTAATTCAATGAGAAATATAGATATTTAAATTTATTGAAAGAAGCACGATATATAATTCACTAAAATATAACATGTCGACCATGAGGTCTAAGATCAGAGTCAAAGGTCATGTCGAATTGTACGCAACATATTGTCTTGGTATGATGGAACCACGTGCCAAATGTCAAGAAGCACAGTCAATAATTAAAACAAGTTCTGAGCTTGACACGATCATTCCACTTGAAACATTTACCCCGAGGTCGAAGGTTAATGTCAAAGGTCATGTCGAACAATACGCGACACATCGACTAAAACATCAATTTATATCGACAACGGCCGTTTTATTGGACCGATCGGGGTCAGGCAATTTTGAAATATGTTATGCAAGTTTAATGGAAGTAGGTGAGTACGGTGTAAAGCTTTGTTTAACCCACCCTTTCGGAAATATAAATTTTCCCTGGTAATTCTTAAACGTATAGTATTTTTGAAGATGGAGTTATTCGAACGAAATAAGAAACACACCCGTCCAAAAGGCGAAGACTCTCAAATCAGTCATTGAATTCCTTTCACCCCTACTGGTGTAAAGGTTAAAATTCTTAAACTCGGGGAAAATCTCCCAATTCTTATATGGATTGCTATATGAACATACATGTACAAGTCCTCCCTTATTAACTTGAAGATTCTGGAGGCACACTGACTATTCCCCGACGACATACGAAGTGGTACATATGCTACGAGGTTAATGAACAAGAGTCTGAATGTTTGGCATGATAATTATGAAAAAATATACTGCATATACTAATTGACCGCATGTTGTGTGTCAAACATACTGGCAAAGATACAGAATAGTTGACTATGCAGCAGTTCTACTTAATCATGATAAAACAAGATCATTTCCTTGTGTTATCTTTGATGGCATTTCTTTTAATTTGTTTTTCAATTGTTCCTTGTCTTTAATTAACATTATTATACAGTTCACATGTTTTTGTGTATTTGTTTTTATGCCCCCGTCGTAGGCGACGGTGGCATTAAGTGTTACCTTGACCGTCCGTCCGTCCCATTTTCGTTGCAAAGCTTGAGCGGGGACATTCGTGTCCTCAGACACATTTATCTTTTATTTCAATTCCTGCTCGACTTTAATACATTTATGAGCTCCCAAGTGTAAATCGTTCTAATCGTACACAAGTTTCCGAACAAACGACTCGAAACAACGAATTTTATTCGGTCGAATGCTGGTCATGTATTACTTTTTGACACGCCTTCAAACATACATGCCCCTTAAATTGAATGCCAATCTTTCAAAAAGTATGTGGTATTTAAAGTTTTTTTCTCATGTTCGTTGTCCGAAACAAACGTACTCAGTATTTTACATAGATAAATAATTATTAACCATTAAATATTCATCAAGTAAAGATTAAAACCATATCATTGGTAGTGAAAATTATTAATTTTTGTGTAAAAACCGGACTTTTATTTCAACTGCATTTCGACCATCATGGCCTTTAATTCAATCAATTCCAGTAAATTGAGTAATCGTTCGAAAAAATCGTTCGATTAACTTTAAAAAAACTTACGGGTGTGCTTCAAATGTAAGAGAGTGTTTTGATAACGCGGACATGCAAATAGACGAAATCTGAGATATCGAACAAGTAGAGACACGTGTTCGATTAATTTATTCTTTATGGAACATAAACAAGCTCTCGTTCAACCTTTGTTTTAAGTATACGTAACAAAAGTCAAGTGCCATCAAAAGTTATAATTTGTTTAATCATAGCAATCTGTTCTTTAATGTTATGTTTATGAAGTATATATAATGCTAAACGTTTTCATTTGACACACATATACTACGTGATTTCATAATTATAAAACACATTAACCTATCAGAAATAATCTAAACTATTCTAATTTATTTGGTGAAAATGATACATTGTGAGGGAGTTACCTCGTAAAAATGTAGCAGGAAGATTGTGATAAAATGCCAAGTAAAGCTGCAAGAGGAGCTGCATTGCCGATTCCAGGAAACCATCAACAAGTCCAAGAATGCAGGCATCTCGTTTTTCCTCCATAGCTCGTAATCTTACTCTTGTTTCTAAATCTGTACCTTTCCATCTCCAGCTTAAAATCATGTAATGCATGTATTCCACATTTCTACAAAATTAAACAAACAATTTAGATTGTAACAGATTTCGTGGAAACCGGAGAAGGGACTATGATAAGGCCCCCTTTTCGGTCACTTGAACTTTAAAATTAAGAAGTATCATAAATCTATCAAACAAATTCCTTCAGATATTCGCAAGATATCTTTCAGGTATAAATATTTTTTTTTCTAACGTTTTATTTGGTGATCAAAAACTTCTTGCATTTAAGTTAAAACTGCAATCGCTGCATCACATGCGTCATCGTCAGATTTTATCATTATCAATTAGATAGGAGCTACAACCTTGTACATGAACAATATTTTGCTACAAAATGTCTTCAAAGAGAGAGATAAAGTTGATAAAATATCTTAATAGTTAAAGCTGTGGCTCTTATCTAATTTTGCCAAAAACATTATGTGAAATGGTCAAGGTTGGTCAAATATGTCAATTTCGACATCATAACAACTTACAATGATACAATGCAGTGTCCAGATCATATAGTCTATTCATTTATCAGTAATTATACATAAGAGGCAATATCTTGTCCTTGAAATTTCAAAAATAGTAAAATCAATAAAATGTAAAATTATGTTTAACTAATGGTAAATCTGGACACTGTCGAAATTGACATATCTGACAAAAGGTTTGGATAAAATTTCGTTTAATGCTGAAGTTTTATAATAGCTGAAATCACTCGGAAAATGGGCTCTGTATGTATTTTTTTGTGATTAGAGTTTTGGCCCTTATTGATTCAGATAATTTGCAAAATGGTTTCCTTTAAGCACTCTATCTATCATATGTATTTCTGAGCAGATATGGCTAAATGTATACATACACTTCACTTAATTAAAGTGAGCGCAAGTTTTTTTTTGTAAAAAAGACATTTTGCATTAATTGTTTTGTTATAAATTAGGTCGTTAGTTTTCTCAATTGAATTGTTTCATATTTTTCATGTCGGGGCCTTTTATAGCCAACTATACGGTATGGGTATTTCTCATTATTGAATGCCCTACGGTTGCCTAAAATTGCTTACATCCACTTTATTTGAACTTTGGTGGATAGTTGTCTTATTGGCAATTATACCTCATCTCCTTATTTTTACATTGGAACTCAATTCTTAAATTCATTTACCTGATGAGGTAACTTACTTTTAACTTCGATTAATTGTGGAAAATTAAACGTCCAGCGGCAAATATTTCATGCCTAGAAAGTACATAAACTAATCAACAGTTAAAACAAAAGGTAGGTTCAGCAAGGTAGGTAAACCGTCCCTATAAAAGTCAATAAGTTTGTACTGAATATGACAAATGAGGAAATGCTAGATAAGCAATAGGCCACACATGAGCCCCTTAGAGAACCCAATTCAAATCAGGTGTTGCTGCGTATCTATAAATTCCGCACAGCCGAACGGATGCCCACTTTTGCAAAGGTGTTTCTGTCGGACAGAAGGTACAGGGATGACCATATTTATATATCCTTATCGACATATCAAAATTGAACTACAGTCTCTTGTATTGGTAGACTAAAGCAGGATCCATACTGTTCTTATCATGTATCAAAATGACATCTATTATTGTAAAGTTACAGTTTTAGTCATTCCAAAACGCAACCAATAATTAGCGTGTAATATTTGCCGAAGTACAATATCGCTTGAAAAAAAACGGCATTATCGGTATAGTAAGAAAATATCGTATTTGTATAATTTAAAAAAAATGTTTGCCATACAATAAAAGGGATATTGCAGGAATATTGATGAAATTTGAGAAAATCAATATTTAAGAATAAGAATAAGAATTTGTATTCAATAATATTAGTGCAATACACCTTCATACAAATGTTCTAAGCATATCGTTTGAATTGTCTGGCGTAGATTAATCTTGACAATAATGTGAAATGCCAAGTATTTTGTGATATGGGCTAGTTGTTTTATTGCAAAACACACTTTATCCGGTATATTTACGTATATATTTTATTTAATGGCATGTTTGATAAATAAGTTCGGACTCTTAAATTTATGACCATTTATGTTAAAACGAACTTGTGACAAACCTCTTTGACCGTTCATTAATTAAATTTATACCTGCAGCGCGGTGGTCAACAAATGACATCGTAGGATTTTATCATTAAACTGTCGTATTGAAGTCTAAGGCCACAAATACAAACTTATAATAGACATATTATATATTATATATATACATGCATTCGAATAAATTAATATCTTGTACCTTCTAGTACTTATTAATAATAAGAAAATATTATATGAAATGTCCTTTTAAGGGTTTAGTAGACACATATATCACTCGTTTCACCTCCTGGACTAACTTTTCTATTTTAAGTTTTGATTTTGACTGAAAAAAGTTCTAATTATTATTGGCCAGCTTGTTCTGATATGTAAGCATATGTCACAAACTCGTCATGAGCTTATTTGAATACACAATACCTCTAAGTATACTTGTTAGTGCAAAACTAAAATGTACGAATTTGAAAACTACAATAATTTTGACGGAAACTCCATTGATATTTATGAAAAATCGCGGAGTATCTCGAGAAATAATTTGATTTTTTTTATCTTATCGGCTGGATAACAATTTTAACACTTTCTCTTACCAGAACTTCTTATTCGTTAAAGGGTATTATTGACCCAATACAAATTGGTTTTATAAAAGCTTGAGCATTGAGGTGAAGCAATTAATCTGCATTAACTATTTCAACTCTCCAACATTCAGACATCAAACATCTTTTAACAAAAAATGTCGAAATAAATGGTATTTTAATCGAATGTAATTAAAATCACTAATACGACTTACAAACAAGGATAAATGACATGAATTGGTAATTAACCAAACCAACATCTGCTCTTTCTGCCAGTTAAAATTATCCAACAAATTTCAGATACTAGATATTGGAATGTTATATGATTAGACATCAAGCAACAACACTGCATTAATAACAGCTAACAAAATGAAAAGTACCCGGCCATCCACCTAAAAATAGTAAGAAAGAAATACCACAATGTTAGGAAATAAATAACCTTATTAGTGAAAATCACTGGTTGTCTTCAAATTTGATCAATAAGACAATTAAAGTTAAATTCTTCTTTTTGGTCAGATATCCCGCATTCAAATGTCGACCAAAGACTCAAACGAAAACAGCTTCAACAAAAATGAAAAGTATATCTCGTAAGAGTGTATATGTTACGTTCTGTTTTAAGGGAAAGATTGTTTCAATGTTTGCACGTGCCTGAATTTTATAATTTTTAACAATCATCTTATTATTGAAATCATGATCCCTTCGGAGTTTTGAAAATTGGTCATCAGGTGGTTGACCTTTATGGAATATCTGAGTCAAATTGTCATAACCACAATCCTGTCCTCATTTCTTCGATGTTGACATCACCATCAAATACATGACGGTGCCTATAACGAAGCGGGATCTGCTAACGATTCCGGAGCATCTAATATCCCCCTAAGTTTTGATGGGGTTCGTGTTGCTCAATCTTTAGTTTTCTATGTTGTGTTTTGAGGACTCGTTTGCCATTTCGTCGTCTTACAGCATTTTTTTACATGGCATTGTCAGTTTATCTTAACTTGTGAGATTTAAATGTCCCCATTGTGATTATCTGCTTTTCTTTATTTATTAATAATTGTTACCTATATATGAATCAAAATTCAAAGTGTAAATTAATCTATAATACTGACCTATACAGTTTTGGGACGTTATCTATAATACTATAAATAACACGACTTTATTTTCTTTAATACAAGTTTGGCGAATAGAATGAAATAAAAACAGTTAACACATCGTTACTACTTTTGAATTGTCGATCTGGTTTAGAAGCATTTATTTATTAAAGAGGGAGGCCGTGATTCAGCTAGCATTTGTATATTTAAACCGCTATCAAATTCACAAAGTATTTCGATTAAATAATTATCGCATTGAAACTCTTGATTTAATTCTATAAAGAGAGAGACCGACCTGCCTTTCACTTTCATTCACCGTTTTAGCTACATTATTTGAAAATGAACCAATAAGTAGGGACTTTAAAAACAGCAACATACTATAAAAGTTATACTGTTAATGTGTTGCAGTAATTATGTGTGCAAGAAAAGGATCAAGGGCTAGAATTTTCACTGAAAATGAAACCAAAATTGGGAATAAGATATTTAAAGCAGAGGGTAGACTAGCACCATTGAAATGCAATTTAAATTTTCAGGAAAAAAAACCCCTACTTTTTTGTTATATCGGGCCCTTTTATAGCTGACTTTATATACGGTATAGGTTTTGCTCATTGTTGTTGAAGGCCACACGGTTTGTTTTACGTCATTTAAACTCTGGTGGACAGTTCAATGGCAATCATACCACTTCTCCTTTTGTATAACTTTAAGAAAAATAATTTCCCGCTGTGAACCCGATTCGAAAACATAATATACACATTGTAACATGTACATTTTATACATTTGTTTACAGCTGTTACATGAAATAACATGTGCAGATATGTGCAGATGTATGACACAAATACTTCATAAACTTTATGTTTACCGTAGGGATTCTCCTATATTATACGTAAATATTTACTTGTCCTTATGATATACATACCTGAATAATCTACCTAGTTGTATTAGAGAGAAGAAAATTCTCAAAAATAATAGTTTCTTCGGAATCCTTATTTCCAATTCTTTCTTTTCCGATTCTTCAACATAAACCATGTAATTCCAAACACAGTTTATTATAAATGAAAATATGGACGGAACAACAATAAACGAAACGGTCAATTGAAATAATAAAATATTTGATTCATTGTAATATTGCAAGGCTAACAAAATATCAGATACGAAATCGGCAACAAATAAACACGTTGAAAATATGGAAAACAATAAGTCCCGTGGTTTATACAATTTTGGCAGACGATTTATTTTTGCGCCTTTAAGTTTTGATGTAAGTTTACCACCAGTTTCTATCACAATTTCTATATCATTTTGCGGAACAGCACATTTGACACTTTCTTCATTTAATACATTATTTAATCCATTTAATGATTTTTCATTTTTATAAAACTTTTTTGGAGAATGAAGAATAGAAATATTCTCTCTATGCATCCCACCGTCTAAGTCGTCTGCCATTTTAAAAACAAACAGCCTATCGCGTGTCATGTGTACTGCAGAACAACAACAGGATTTTCCAATTGCTATCATTAGCCACTGATGATAAAGTTTAATAAGCTAACGATCGTGGGAATCCCCGTAATTGATAGCTATCAAAAGATGCTATAAAACTATTATTGAAATTATCCTCATTATCAAATTTATCAAATGTAGTGACCACTGAGAAATTAAATAACAATAATTTATCTTGTATCTTTTCGCCTTAAGTAAATCGGACAATCATAATTTGTCTGACTTAAACGTCTGCACTGATTCGAACAATCAATTTTACAGGTAACGGTATAAACTGTACACGATATTTGATTTGCAATTAGATAGTAGTGAAATGTGCAAATCAAAAGTTCAAATAATCCCGAAACTGTAGTATATAAAAAGTCTGTCCGTTCAAATGTTGATGTAATCCTGTTTCTTCGTTGAATTACTATTTCAATATAATTGATTTCGTAAATATGTAACTGTTTATACTTCTCAAGCTGTGCACAACACACCGGTCGGCCTGAATAAGGAATCCGCGGTCACGTAAAATCCTGTTTTATAAATAGCGAAACTCTTTTTAAAAATGTTCAAAGACGTTATAATAACTCAGTGCATATTTAAAAAAGATTATCTGTATGTAGGTGAAGAACTATTTAACATGTCCAATATGTTGTGAGACCTTTTAAGTAAGTGGATGTATAAGGTAAACAAATCGAAGATAAAGAAAACAACATTGGTGACACAAGACAGGAGGATTAAAGCTACGGTAATATAAGTAATAAGTTTACGCAAACACCGCAGAAAGTTGAGATAGAGGGTAAATCGTCAGAACATGTGTTTGAACTTTTGAAAATATATTATATCTAAAATACGGTTATTTCTCTTCTTTGTTTTTGAATAATACAATGGCTACGGTAGAAATTGATATACTTACAGTTTCCATTAATTTCTTTTTTTTTCTGAAGTTTTTGTTTAATCTCTGACGATAATTTAAATGTTGGATATCAAATAAAAAGATTTAAAAGACAGAATTTATAGTTTGACGTGAGATAAGATATTAAGTACGATATATGATTTAATTCATCAAAGAACAAACGTGGGTTTATGGGGGAAAGTACCGAAATTCATCGAACGTTCATTTTTTTTGGTACAATGTTATACGCAAGAGTACACACCGTACAGAAAATTTAAGATTCAGGCTTGACGACTGCACCCACACTGCATCAAATATTAAACATGATACCCTTTATCTACTCCTATCTTTAATTTAGGACAAGTACTGCAGGAAATCTAATACCATGCAGTCACTCCAGTCAGGCAACCTCTTCACGACCTTACAAATGAAATCTTTCTGTAAATATTCACGTGGCATTCTTTTCTAGTTTATTATAGATTACAAGATTTTTCCTGACTGAATACGTAAACATTGTATGTTCCTCCAAAGTATAAACGTCCCTAATTTTAGGAGTAAGTAATTGAATTGAATTGAATTAAGTAAAATAGAGATTTTGTGAACTAGCTATAGCCTACCTTTCCACTAAAGTCAAAATGTGCATGACAGCCTAATGCGCGCGCTTTTTCAAAAGTATGATTGCTTAACTAATACACAGTGGCAATTGTTTCATGCACATTCAGGACGAAAACAAATTAACAACTTATAAAATAGGTAAGTACTTCAAACTGAGTCGACGGCATAAATGGCACGGAGTTTACACTGGGTATATATGCTGAATAAAGGCAGACATTTTGCTTTGAATCAGGTCTCAGAGAGTTTTTTCGATGGATCTTTAAGTTTGGCACTCATGCACCCTACACGGGGCATCGAATTTAGGGTCACACTTTGGACCAATCATGGCTGCATATGTACACATCCTGCACAGCCAAATGGAAGCCCCAGTTTAGCAAGGATCTAACTGTCGGAAGAGAGAAGTCCAGAGATGGCAATTTAACTATAATCCAGTATACCTTTGGACATAAAGTACTTGTACAAATAACACTGTTTTTTTCCTTCAAAAATAAAGTTGATGTTCTTCATTAAAGATAAGCAATCGCACACAATCCCAAGGAATCTTTTCATTCAGCAAAAAAGCACATAGTTGAGGTTTAGATATATAGCTTCTTTATAAACTTACACCTGGCATTGACGATCTTCTTTAAGTTGTGTTCAGTTAAATATAGATTTATACAAGACACTTTAATTTGAATTAATCAATTTAATGATTTTTTTTCTAAAACACTGAGATTTTCTCCTGTTTCGAAGGTATTACAAGTAAAATTTATATGGTATAGTAATGCACATGTATTATTTATAACCGTCAATTTATTTATTATACGCTAAATAATAAAACATTTTAATTCCCAATCGTAATTTTTCACAGAAACCTTCATTGTTTTGACACTTACCACGGAGAGGAGTATGAAATGTGAAAAAAGATAATAGGAGACACTAATTGTATAGTACACGAATATCCCGCATAAGAAAATATGTAAATCTTAATTTGTTATATGTATAAAATAACTGATAGCAGGATAACCCATGTATCAGACGTTCAACTGATTTGTGCGTCCAAAGTCGATGTAAGAAAGATGACTTAATTAATCAATTAAAACCCTGCAGTTATAAATGTACAGATACAATTGAGTAATGCTTACCAGAACGTTTCGGAAAGAAAACTCATCAAAGATACCAGGCTTAAAATTGTGTACGCCAGACGCGCGCTTCGTCCAAAAACGACTCATCAGTGACGCTAGAATCAAAAACGTTAAATCCCAATATAAGTACGAAGTTGAGGAGCACGACAGTTGGACCCTTCATAAAGGGGTGTCTGTTTTCACAGTGCTTATGTAGTCTGTAAGTTTCTTGCTTTTTTAAAGTTTTATTTTACAAGATACATCCTCATTTCCAGTCGTAGAAGGTATATTTCAACCATTCTTCCGTTCCTTATTTTCAAAAGATACCTTGGTATATTGTATAATAAGCTCTGGTCCTGAATATGCATGAACTATATGCCACTGAACATTAAGCAAATAGCAATCGATCGGCTCTTGTTTTCCAGTAAATCCTTCTCATGGTTCAAACAGTTTTTACATCCATCACAAATATAACAGCTGTTTAAGCAAAAAGCATAAAACACAATGTGATGGAATAAGAGTTCCTTTGTAATAAAAAAAAACCAAAATGGAATAAATATTCTGGAATAATATTTCAATTGGAAAATAATACAGTATTTGTTCTAAACAGAATACCGGTTATAGAATTTTTGTTTGTGACGAAATAAAGGCTATAGAATAGTTGTTCTTGGTGGAATAAGTGTATATATATATAGCATATGTGTTCTAACGGAATAAAGGGTGTAGAGTATTTGTTCCAATAGGAAGAGATATTATATCATGTTTTCAACTAAGTTTTCCGAGGAACTTCTGTTAGGCGGAACAAATATACGCTGACTACAAAACTCAATACAATTAAAGTTTTGTCATATAAATGTATATTCATATATATATATACATGTATATATTTATAGATAACATGAGATATGTTGTAAGCGTCATAGAGACGGCAATCTTAACATTTAAAGTCAATAGTAAATACTCCTTTTTAGAGGTCGATCACCATAAGGTCAGCGACAAGCCAACTTGTGAATAATATTCTCTTTAAACATGAAATTTATAACCGACCACTTCTCAGAACCATACCTTACAGATCTCGCAAGGATCTCGTCCTTAATATGCAGGGTCAATAACATTTCTAAAATACGAAAGGAGTTTTGAAATGTAAGTAGCTATGACTTCAGTAAAACACTTTCAAATTTTCTGAAAGTATCATTGACCTAGAGGCTGTATCACTATTATAGCAACGCGACAATTATAACGACCATTAGCAGACGACAGAAAAGAGATCTCGAAATGTCGTACATTGAATATAACACTTTATGTGTCCTGCATGCCTCCGAAGCACTCTTTCTGGATTTACCTTCTCTAGGAACGCTCAAACATTGACATTTGAAAGCCGGGGATATGTAAATATATGATAATAAAACATCTGGCATTTTGTTCATGATAGTTTCCATGTTTTTAAGTTTTATTAGTTCATATATATTTGTCCTGATCCAAAATGCCTTTACAAAGTAACATCCCCTGCCAATATCAGATCACCGATCTCAAATATTCAAACAATAGTGGACGCCTGCTAAAATACAATATGGCTAGGACCCACAAATTCTTATTGAACGAAACATTTAATTCTTTTTATATGACATAAGTGCGTCTGCATCAGGGTATTTGGTTGATATCGTTGGCGGCGACGTGCTCGGCTATAGAAATTGTATATTATTATTTTTTTATTATTTAATTTACATTTGTATATCACTTAGGCTTGCATTTGAAATTAATAATTGAATGCACCAAATATGCGTATTCATTTGTCATAAGAATAAAATATCTCCCCATTGGATCTTTAATTTCATAAATAATCATAGTTACTCCTTACATCTGATAACAATTTACGATTCTTGACATTAACAAGTCATTTTTGTTATTATTTTTTTCTTCTTTGAAGCGTGATATATGTATTTTGATATGTCAATATATAACTTATGTAAATACTACAAACATAAATTTGAATAGCGTATACTCCGTTTATAGTATGGCCTTTTATAGAGAGATTTTAACCATTCCTAACATATCATCTTCACCGGATTATACTAAATATATATATAAATATATGCAACACACATGCATATCAAAATGAAAAAAAAAAATATATTGAACAGTCAACAACTTGATAGTATAATGGTCAATATCGTCAGTCGCCAGTTCTTTCAATTGACACCAGTTACTACAGGAATTACTGCGCAAACGTTCGGAGCAGCGGTGTTATGCTTTCTGGTCAAATAGGTTGTTTATCACCCATGCAACGAACAGGTATCTGAGTCAAACAGAAACAGGACAGGGAACCAGTCTTTCTGTGCAAATTATTCTCAGATTTTTACACTAAGAGCAGATATGAGGTAAAAGTTAAGGAAATAGCAACCGAACGACCCAAATAAACAAATACATCTTACGGGAAATACAACAGTCTTCAACATTAGACAGGTGGCTAAACATATGAAAAGGAGATGTAGTATTATTGCTAATCAGAGAGCAACTATCCACCCAATGCCTGTGAACAACTACAGGTCATTGTGCGACCTTAAAGATGATGAGCAAAACCCATACCGTATAGTTAGATATACAAGTCCCGGACGACAAAAAAAAAATATTCAAAAGAGAAAACCAAAGGTCTGATTTATGCTTCAAACAATAAACGAAAAACAGTTATGATAAAGCGCTAAATAACTCCTAGTCTAAAACAAGTTGTGAATAAATCAAACAGAAACTATCAAGGATCTGCCATCCGCATCGAATTTTCCAGATTAAAAAAAAACATTAAAGCTAGAAATGGACAACAACTGTGAACAGACTTGTGACATGTACATTAATGTGTGGCGGGTTGATAATTTTTTATAAGATATCTCAACAATGGATCATGTTTATTGTTTACCATGAACGAAATGTCTGACTCCGCCAACCATGTTCTTCTGGTTTTAACTCTTTTAGGGCTATCACTTCTTGTTATGCTACTCAGTCAAAAAAAAAAACATTGCTCTTTATATAATAATGGTACAGCGTTCAATAAGTTGATGATTGCTGCAGATAATTTCTTTTTCCTGTGGATGACATTTCCACAACTATAGTTGAAGAAAATTAGCTTAACCATTATTTCGTCATT